CGGAATTGTAACTCTCCCGCAGGACATCAGAAAATCCCGAAACATAAACTAAACTAAGAATTTTAGGGGTTATATTGGGCTAACCTGTAGATCTGCACTTGTTATTCACAATCAAACCAAGTAAATCTACAAATCCTACAAATAATTAAGATTAAAAACTTAATTAGGGTTTATGTTGTCAGTTTTTATTTTAAAAAAAGAAAAAGAAAAAGGGGCAATACTTACCGGGGCTGCAGAATGGCGGGAGGCTGGTGGTGGTTCTGGTCGCAGGCTTGAGGTCAGTTTTTAACCAAAAAAAAAACGGGGAGGCAAAGCTACTTACCGAGCGGCGGCCTTGGAGTCACAAGGGGACGATGGTCAACGGCCGGTGGTTGTGGTGAAAGATCGGTGGTGGCTGTTGACATGGTGGTGATGGTTAGGGTTTCCCAAAAAAATTTAATTAAAAAAAAAATTAACTACATTTACCAATCGGCTTTTTGCAGAATTACAACCCCGTAGTTGCGGCGGATCGACGGTGGTCGCCGCTTCCTCTTTCTCTCTCTCTCTCTCTCTTCCTTTTTCTCTTTCTGTTTCTGTTTTTGATTCTTTTTCGTGAAAAAAATCAGAACGTCGCTTTTGTTGTTTTATTGTTTCCGTCGGAAGAATTAATTTCCCACATAAATTAATTCCTGTTTTTATTTTATAATTTCCGATGGAAATAATTTTCCTCGGAAAATAATCCTTCCGACGGAATATTCCGTCGGAATAAACTTTCCGAGGGAATATTCCGTCGGAGGAATTATTTTCCGAGGAAATTAAATCCATCGGAATATTTACGACGAAAATTCCGTCGAAAAATCTGTTTTCCTACGAAATTTTGCGACGATTTTAAATTCCTCGGAAAATTCAAATTTTCCGACGAAAATTTAAGTCCGTCGGAATGTTTCCGTCGAAAAACTGCCTAATTCTAGTAGTGTAACATACATCCTTGGAGGTGCCAAACATTCTTGGTTAAATAGAAGTCAAGAACATTTTCTAAGTATAGGGAGTTTGACTCACTATAGGAAAATAGTGTACAGTATGAAAGTCTCGTCAAAAAAATATAGAGTATGAAAGTGATAACCAATGCACAAATCATTATTCATGAGAAAGAGGGCTTCATAGTATTTTTTATTTTGTAAAAACTGTAGATTCAATTCTCCCCCCATTGAAAATGAAATTATAACCAATGTACAATAGGTACATCTTCAATTTATACATGTTTGGTACTCGAACAACATATACTTCAACATCCATACACACGCACCTAATATATCCATATATACCAAACAATTAATCGCAAAAATAGCTAATATTAACATTGAATAATGCCAAACATATAATAATCTTCTCAAAAATTCCCAACAGAAATCCCAAGTTGATCATATATAGAACACAAAACTTTGTTCCAATTCTTTCTTTTTGTGTGATAATTAAGCAATATAATGGAGAAGGACCCTAAGCTAAAATTATGACGTGAATGTAGGAAAACCAAACCATTGCCATTGAATTCATTCCGAATTAGTATTTCCACAAACTAAATGCATGGCCCCACTTTTGAAAATAATTAAAGTTGGTTCATGTGCATCTCGATCTCAATAGGATTATCAACCTCGTATTGTTTCTTCCGTTCCTATCTCGTGTCATTGTCTATGTCTCACCTTATCAATTTGTTATTTCACATGATTATACTTGTAAGTTTCAACTTCAAGCAAACTCACTTGTAAGCTTTTCTCTCTAGATTATTGGGGTAGGGGTCACATTATTTCATTACTTGATAGCTCTTCACACCATTCCTCTTGTCTCCGATTAACTAAGCATTGCATTTGCATGAAAAATTAATCTTGATCAGACATTAATCCTCACAAGTTTTTTAGCCCAGCATTTTCGAGTCAGACGCTTATAAGAAATTCAACCTTGTAACCTAATTTAAAGATTAAATGGTGGATCACCAACCAACTAATCAAGCTAGCTAGCCTCGTTTAAGTTTATCATTGTATATGCCATTACGATTTACTACTCTAAAGATTGTTACGTTTGGTGATTCTACGGGTTAATTATGTAAAATAAGATTGTGGAGATTGAAGCAATGATTAGATGCCACATATATCAAGTATTAAGACATTAAAATGTTTACGTTGGGAATAGGTAAATATTTTGTAAATTATTAGGAATAGTTACTTTGGGAGTTGGAAAAAAATTTGTTAAATGAGAATAGATACATTTGGAAGGAGGTGTGTAAGAAGGAAAATATGTAAAACAAAATTACTAGCAAATATAACCATATTTTAGGAACGAAGGTAGTATAGTTTTCCCACTACTTTTCCTCTTGTCTCCAATTAAGCAAGCATTGCATTTGCATGCATCAAGGGTTTTCCACGCACAGGCTTAACTGTGACTAATTAATGACTTTAGCTCCCCTAATTTGGTCATTTTTATGCGTCAATCATGCCTTTTCCAGTCTACAATCGTGATTATGTTAGTCAATAACTAATCAATTAAGCTTAGCTTTATGATGAGAGTATCCATGATCCTCAATTTAATTTAAAAGTTCAGTGGGATCGAGTAAGAGCTAGATATGATAATGTTTTTTTTTTTTGTTTTTTTTGTGCAAAGCTAGATATGATAATGACATAATGTACATACACTGATACACATCTATCGTCCCTCGTTTATGTACCTACATAAGTTGTACGTAGTCATAATTTGTTGTAATAAGTAACATATGCATGCATGATGAACATTTAAATTTCCCAAAATTTTAAGTATTGATTCTACAAATAAAGTAATTAAATAATAGAAATATATGGTTGGTGTAAGTTGAAATGGAGTAGGAGTATGGGAGTGAAGGGAATGGAGTCGGTGACGGTCGGCAAAATTCACCAATCGATGTAGTGCTTGGAGGCCGGTGTGCGAGATTACCTAGGGATTGCGTGATGCCCCTTTTTTAAATTTTTATTGCAATTTAGAGAGGGGGATTAGGAAATAAATAGTGCTTTTCTACTCCATTGCCACTTGAAATATAGTAAATTTTCTTTTTCTATTTTTTTTTTATATTTTATTTATTTATTTTAATATTTGACAATTAACGACAGACTGTTGGTTACTTCCCTTAACTAGCTTGACCAATAGTTTGTGTTAGTATTTTATGTCATTTGTTTGATTGTTGGCGCTTAATAATAAGAAGTACGTAGTATAAAGTATATGTTTGATGAAGCTGGTAATCGGTTGTTTCATCAATACAAAATAACCTTTAACAATATTAATATGTTTTACTCCATATTATTTTTGTAATAGAGGATAGAAAGCTAATTAATAAAATGAAATGCCAACAACCACTGTAAACCTAGTCTTACAAGATTTTGGCTTTTGGCAAAAATGTTGGGCTTTTAGCCAATTTATAAAAAAAAAAAAAAAAAAAAAAAAAAAAAAAAAAAAAAAAAAAAAAAAAAAAAAGGTCAATTACCAAACTCATATTGATTGTTTGATCCCACTAAAACCAAAAACTCCAATGAAAATGCCAAGAAAAACCTATTTGTCAAACAAGGGGCGATAATATCAATAAGATTATGATAAAGTATCTTACAAATTACTCAGTAATTGATTAGGACAACTTGGGCTTTTCACGTTCTCTAGTACATTTTCTAGTGTATTACTAGTAATTAGAGTTTCATTTGTTTCTAACTGTGTGCTCCAATTAGGGGTGAGTATAATAGGGTACCCTGTTAAAATTTCTAGAACCGGAATTGGAATCGGAATCGGAATCTGTTGCAACAGGTTCTTCAAATTGGGAACGTAATTGGAACCTGCTCAACAGGTTCCCGGAAATTGGGAACCGAAATCGGAACCTACAGGTTCTGGTTCCGATTTAGAGTACTCTGTCTTGTAATATACTTAATAATTTTTTGCAGAATTTTTTACGAAAATTTAGATGGTCACTAATTTATAATATTTATAACTCGCAAATAAAACAAACTAATAGTAATTGTTGAGCAACTTTAATATATACATATATTTATAATTGTAATTTTGATATTTATTATTAAAAAAAAAAGGTTAGAATTGGTGTATAATTATAATTTGAACTTAAGTGATACTTTTATCATGTTACAAGCCAGGGTATCCTACAGGTTCCGGTTCTAAAAAATTGAGAACCTGAACCGGAACCTGTTGCAACAGGTTCTCCACTTTGCTACCCGAAACCTGTATAAGAGGTTGTAGTTCCGGTTCAGAGTACCCTGATTTTTTGCTCACCCCTAGCTCCAAATATGTTTTACGCATTTTTAATACGAGGTATATGTTTAAGTGGAGTTGATAAAAAGGTAAAATTGTAGGATCACAGTACACATTATTGATGGACGATTAGACTAAAGGAACCACATTCTTATTAAGAAAATTATAGACACACAAAAGGATAAATTAAAAATTGGAAATAATCACCTATTTGAAATCGAAATGGAGGAAAAACCTTTATCTATGCATTTATAAAAGATTCATAATTGAAATTGTAAATCAAATGAACCACATGAATGATAAAGGTAACCTACAAATAAGTTAATTGAGTTCCACTTAAGTCTAATTTTAGAAAAAATATAATATGAACAAGAGATTATCGTTGACAAAAAATGTGTTAAAAAATTAATGACATTTTCTAGAATAAAAATCATTATTTTCATAAGAGTATATGACTAAAGCACAATCTTGCAGAATTGCGGTTGGTTGATGGGCCGCGTAACACATTAACTTTATGGTTTGAGCACCATTTGGTGTATTTTGAGTAATTTTGAAGCTAATCCTATTCAACCAATTCCGTTGCACCTAATTTTTGTCACACATAAATTACAACAAGTCAAGAATATTATGTCAACATTTTATGAATTTATTGAATTACCCCAGTGTATAACATTTTTAAATAATAACGACACTAAAATTATATTTCTAAAATCAATAGTTCTTTTAAACTGACGGAAAATATTAAGTTATCCTTACACTCTGAAGTAAATATTAACAATTTAAAAGTATATATAATTATAAGAAATATGATTTTGAATTCCTAAACATTACATGCCTTGGGCTAATACTAGATGTAAGGTTGTTGTCATACAAAACTTTGCCTAAAACCAAATGTTACATCATACTAAATACATATACAAGGTACAGCTAGAATGAAAAAAAATCACTCAATTCAATCTACATGACATGTATACATATGATAATCAATTTGCCAAAAAATAACTTCATTCAGCAAATAATAATAATAAAAAAAAAAAAAAAAAAAAAAGGTTCATTGATAAAAATGTATAATTGAAATTACCAATAAGGTGGTTAGTATTTGCAATCCTTCCCTCCAATTTAAGGATTGAGATGAAGAAGTCTCAGATTCTAACAAAGATCCTATAGTAAAGTTGGGGTTGGAACCATAAAGATATTGCACTCCCTCAATATCATCAAACCTCAATTTAAGTTTCTTTTCTCTAGGCTTAAGACTTGGATACATGACTGATTCCTTGACGTTACTATGTGCCAACCCTAGCAAATGCCCGATTTCGTGCAATGCCACGGACTCCAAATCCACCGCCACATCCGAATCTTCTCTATCAAAATCGATTGTCCATTTTTCAGCCGCGTCAAGATGAAACCTACCATTTTCGGGTGAGAAGGCATGGGCTAACACCCCTAGGACCCCGTCGAATGGCTCTCCATCGCCATGATCACCTTTGTAAAACCCTATTTTAATGTCTGCTACGCCAAGATCTTGAGTCTCAACAAATTTTACAGGAATAACTGACGCCCATCTTGAAAAAGCGCGCTCAAATGCACCTTTTATGTCATGCAAACTCAAGTAAGTGATCAAGTCATCTAGGGAATATGCATATGTAAGCGTCATTGGTATATCGCGATTCCACCTTGGTCTCCCCGGAAAATATAGGTAGTGTCGAGTCTCATGCAACGAAGGTGATGACCTCTTGATACCATTAGGGTGGTCCGGAATGCCACACCTAGGAGACATGATCATAGAAAGCGTATCAGGATTAAGAGTGCCAGTAACAGGTAAGCCATAATTTTCTTGGTAACGAGTTACAACATTTGCCAAGTGGTCGTCAAATTCGTTGGAAAAATCAACCTTGGAAGTTATAGGATGGTCGTAGTAACCAAAACGTTGAAAGTAACTCTTGAGCTCCGCGATGTCTTCAACTCGACTACCTTTCCTAGCATTAGCAAGTTTTCGGAATTTATGCCATGCATGAGGCTGATGTTGTTTGTGGTGGACTTTATTAGAAGGTGATTTAATCATGGAGTTTACGGTATTATGACATGAAGATGGAACTATGAAAAGAAATAACAAGAGCAAGAGAGGCAAAGAATTGATAAGAAATGAAAGCATGGTAGCAATTTTTGTAAGAGGCTAATGAGTAAAGTGCACAAGTTTGAGCAAACAAATATATATGCAAGAAGGATATTTCATTTTTACATGTATTGTGGATTTAGTTTATTGTGAGTGGGTGAACTACTTTTACACATACATATATTTAGATCTTCACTACTAACTCCTCGTTAGTCATAACTTATAATAAGCAATATATAACTAACTCTTTAATATTAAAACAATAGATTATACAAATGAAGTGATAGATTTGATCAAATTTGTTATCGGTTAGTCCATTTAGTTAAAAATGAAGTAGACATTTCTTGAAAACGGTCCAAAAAATTCGACCAACTATATTATTTGGTAGTTGAAGTTCCTAACGGATGGTTAAGGGAATGCTTGTGTTGCGGTTTTAGGGTAGTTTGTGCAAGTAGAAGAAACGACGGTAAAAGTCTTCTCAAGCAACCACTGGCTGTTGCATGACATTATTACTATTTGGATTACTTTGGCAAATATATGAAATTCAATTCCTTCGTTGACCCATATATCACATGCATTAAGCTTATATTACGTATATATATGAATTGTTAGTTCTTGCATGCTAGCTCACATTTTTATCCCTCAATTTTTGTCCTTACACTAACAACCAGATTTGACTACCGATTTCTAATCCGTATCTAAGTATCTGACCACTTAACTAATTTTGTAAATCGGACTCTAGTATTAAGATAGTATGCGTAATCAATTATTAGGGGAGAGAATATTTGTAAGGAACGTAGCATCTCAATATACGATACGTTTTTAGAGTGACATATAATTGAACACAGAAAGATCGAAAATTGGACCAGAGTCTCTCACAAGTCAACCCGACCTGAATATATGCGCGAGACCTCTTGGGAGTTGGGGAAAAGGTAAGGAAATCCCCACCCCAAAAATGCCTATAATGAAGATTAATTCTATAACCTCATAGTTGCGAGATAACAATCCTTACCATTAGATAAAATACTATTTAATACGTACTTTAGAGTTTATTGTGAAAGAAAAGAGCCCAAATCTTCAGTCGCACTATATGTATTACTCCATTTATATATTGGTCAATATAATATTTTTAATTCATATGGGACATGGGGGGATCACAAAAAAGGACCCTATCAATTCTAAAATTGGATTCATTAGATACCCAATTGTTTCACATATAAATAAACATTCTAACCTTGTATGGGCCATCCATGAGAATAAGATAGGTAATTTCAATTTTGGGCCCCCGGTAAATCTAAATGCTCCTACCGTCCTACGAGTCCTACCTTCATCTTTCGGTCTTTCCCCATCTAATAGACTACTAGTAAAGCGACTTCGATCATTATTCGTTACATAATTACCCAATTTTAGATCCAAAATTAGATCATGGACACAGAGTACAATTAACACCATGCATTAAAAAAAAATAAAAAAAAATTAAAACTTTTAGTTTTACATATTACCATGCATTCTTTTGGTGCACAATGAACATTTCACGTCCTTATCTATATTTTACGTGTTGATTTAGGATTTTAGTATTGAAAAAAAAAACGTACGTAGTATTTATATTGAACTGAATTGAACTTTACTGATTTTTTATTACGAAGTATATTTCTTCTTTGAAGTTACTGATTTTTACTGAACAGAAATTCCTCATTTGCATCAAAAAAAAAAAAAAAAAAACCTTAACTGAAATCATTTTTAGTGAATATTATTTTTGTAAGGTGAAGTAAAAGGGTCTAAGTCATATCTTGCCAATTAATTTTGTTCACATTTTTTTCTTTGGTATCAAATTAGTTTGATTTGCACAGCTTTAAATTGGCAAGCACCGTATTTTTTAATTCTTCATTTCTTAACTACTAAAAGTTATAGTCCAACACTCTTTCTCATCCTAGTATATGTCTAAATGAACCCATAAACACGTGTTAGGATACATATATCATTAAATTGTTCATATATTGACAATCAAAATAAGTAATTTCTCATCATATTATATGTCTAAATGTACCTGTTTCGGGGTTTTCTGATGTCCTGCGGGAGAGTTACAATTCCGAGACTGGAACCGGACGCCTGTACCTGCAAAATAACGGAGACTCCTGTGAGCTCCGCCTCCAACGGTCAAGTTAGTACCTGATTAAGGAGTAATTAATGCTGAAATTAAAGTGATTTGGTCTCTCTAGGTGAGAGTGTTTAATGTAGGTAATCTGCTTTGTTAGCGAGATCAGCCGGTTATTACTGTGTGTAATTAATGTGTTTTTTCCGTAATGTTTCTGTTCTCTTTTTTGTGTAATCCCCCTTAATGAGGATTAAGGGAGGTATTTATAACCTTGGGAAACGTGCCCATCCTAGGTTTAGGTAAACCTAGGGCCGATTGGGCTTCCCTCGGAAGTTGGGCCTGGGTGGCCGGTTTCTCCATTAGGCATGGAGTATGCCACATGTCTTGACATAACAGGTCCAAGGTGGACGAATAAGCGTGTGCCACGTGGGAAGCCCTGACTGTTCCAACTGGGGGACACTTGGCAGGACCTGATTGGTCCACGTGGCGCATTCCGATTGGTGGGAGCAAAATCCCCTAATCATTTGCCCCTCACAGGTGGCACGTGATTGGTCACGTGTTACCTGTGACAGGTGTCGCACTGTAACAGGCGACGGCCTGCTACAGGTGTCAGTCGGCGAAAGGACGAGAGATTTTCCCGCCCAAATTTTGAATTCTGAAAGTGACCCTTCGCCTTCTCACTTCGCCTATATAAGGGAGAGTTGTCTTGAGTCATTTTCACACTTTGAGAACTTTTTGAGAACATTCGGACCCCTGAACTTGCTCTAACATTTTGGACCTTTTCTGCCTACCGCCTGTTCTGACAAGCCGACTGCACCGGATTTCCAGAACTTCATCAACCGTCACTCGTTCAGGTAAATCAGTTCTCTTATTCTTAATTTTCTTTTTATTTTCTGAAATGGCACCACGGAAGCACACGATACGACCTAGGTTAGTGATCAGCCGGTCACCGGGGACGGCTGAATCTAGGACTAGGAGTGCCGCCTGCCCTTTTCCGGACCCATCTTTGCCCTTTCTACAAAGTCCGACTGTATCTGTGTCTATGCAGAGCAGGATGGCCAGAACGAAAAAGACAGTTAGGATCTCAAATTCAGACGGCTCCTCCCACAGGGTGCCGCTTAGTGAAACATCTGACCAGGCGCCAGATGTGGAAGTGAAACAAGGCGGCCTGGATGCCGGCAATTCTGTGGGGGGAGTCATAGTGACCCCTTCCCATTTAACAGTTAACAAATCTGCTCCTTTTCAAAGAGAGGAGGCGGGCCCCTCCGGGAGAGGGGAGGAGTCGTCCTCTTCAGACTCGTCAGAGGACGAATCCGAGTCTAGCTCTAATGGCCATGCTTCTCTGGACACAGAAGAGAAAAACAGTCGCCTACAAGAGGCGAGGCTTTCTCACGCAGTTGAGAAGGGGGACAATTGGGCGGAGCCATCCGCCTTTCACCGAGAGCAAAATACCCCCTACTACTGCACTGTACCTCGAGGCCGGATCACGGCCATGCAAGAAAAAGTGGGGAGCTTTATCGCAAACCACACAATGGGCCCCGGCTTTTTAGTGTTCGTGCCGGATCCAGAAGACACAGTCGTCTGGCCGGCTGGTACTAGTTATGATGGCGCCTGCTTTGGCTGCTACGAGGCGGCCATCAAGGCTGGGCTGCGCTTCCCACTACATCCGGCTGTTCAGCGGATCTTGGATGGGTATTAGTTGGGGTTATGGCAGTTAGCCCCGAACTCCTAGGTCAACGTACTCGGCTATGTGGCCGGGTGCGAACTGCACGGGGTGGAGCCGAGCTTCGAGGCTTTCGCCCATATGAACTATCTCAGCCGGACCCCTAAGACAGGCGGTACCGGCTGGTATCAATTGACAAGCCACAGGGGCTACCTCATGACAAGAGGTAAAACAAACAAGTGGAAGGACTGGCGGAGCACCTTCCTCATCATTGAGAGTTCAGACATTGAGCAGAACAAGCGCTTCAATAGGTGGAACAGGAATCCGCCCCTTCTTGCAGGCGGCCGTAGCATGCCGCCTGTTCCCCCCAAGGCTAAGAAAGAGATCCTTGATAAAGGACTCTTTAAAGTAGAGTCGAGGGTCGACTCTACTTCAGGGGTACGAGAGCAAGTACCCCTGCACTACGTCCCGAGCTTCAAGTGGCTCTATGACGAGTACTTTTTGGCCGCCTGCGGCCTCAGCAGTCGGTGCTCAAGAGGTAGTCGGCCTGTCGAATACTCTGTTGTTCCATACATTTGTTGTTTATCTTTTATTAACTTTGCTGTTTGTTTTTGCAGCTGACGCCATGAGCAAAATCACCGCCTCCAAGACTGCGGCGGCCATGTTGTGGGCCTCTATTATGCAACAAGCTTCAACCGACTCCCCCAAGAAGGGGGCACCCTTGGTGAGCTCCGAACCTTTCACCCTCTTTTTGGAGTGTTTATGCATATACTGACTTTTTCTTCTTTTTTAGACGGGTGCTCCAAGAGCTTCATCTTCCCAACAGCCGGACCCCAAGGCCCGGAAGACGACTGTTGGGAGCTCTCCTGGTTCTTCCAGGAAACAGGTGGCGGCTGAGAAACAGCCGACCACTTCTTCTAAAACTCCAACTGGGCCGCCTAGAGGTATGAAGTTGTCCTTGTAAATTTTAGACTTGCTCCCTTTGTTACTAAGTCTAATCCGTTTGTTTATGCTTGATGCAGCCGGCCCCCAGGAGCCTGACTTGGTAGAGATGGCCAAGTCTATGATCAGGGCAGTTCCTCCAGCTGAAAGGGAGGCTGTCAGGGGTGTCGGCACCCTTGACCTTGACGGGATTGCAGGGGTCCTTGCTGAGGTATACTTAGCATATTTTTGAGTATTTGAATTTCTGGACGCCTGTTTTCTTTTTTGTTTGGAAACTGACGCCTGTTTATTTGTACTTAGGTCCTGCTCCGAGTTAACGGCCTTCGCAAGCCGCTTGATCGGAAGAACAAAGAGGTAAAGGCTGCAAAAGCTATGGCCGCCTCTGACTGTGATAAGGCAATGTTTCAAATTGCCCAAAATGAAGTACTGACCATTGATATTCTTTATTATCAGGCGCAGGCTACCGCCGCTGTTCGGGCTCAGTTAGAGGCGGCCCAGAAGAAGAATGACGAGCTGGAGGCGACCATCACAAATCTCAAGGCCGAGCTGAAACC